CAGTCTTTATCGTACATGACCCTCAGACCATAGCCTATAGTGAAAGTCATCTGTATTTAGGCAAGCCTGTCCCCCTCTGAGTTTATAAAAGTTCTTTATAGGATTTGATGGCTACAATGAGTTTGCCTTTCTTTCATACCTTGTGCTTGCAGTCACTCTTCCAAAGACCACTGTAGCACACAACAGAGGAACTGGGAACAGAAATACTTTCTCATTTGCATGGTCACTCCAAAGCAAAAAAAAAAAAAAAAGGAAGAAAAGATGGACGACGAAGGGATAGAGGTAGAATGAGGCAAATAAGCTGGACAGACTGGAGGACTTGCTGGGTCCCTCAGTCCCTGGGACATTGCATGGGGAAAATGTGGGACCAGATGCTAGTAACGAATTCAAAAGAGTTAAGTAGTCTAAGGAGCGTATGAAGAGAAAGTGGAGCTGAGAGCTGGGGCTGAAGGAGAGCGGAGTCTAAGCCAAGGTATCCAGAGGAGGGACAGGAATGAGCAGGTAAGAGGAGAAGGCACCACTTGGAAACTGGTGGTGGGGACTGGTGGTAGGACAGGAGAAAGGGGCAGTGCTGCGCAAACAAGAGCTGGCTCACATCTAGGGCACACAAACCAGGATTAAATCCCAGACTCCCCTGCTATTGCTGTGGCAACCTGCCAAGAGTAGGGCAGCTGAAGTAGTAAACTGCACTTCTCTCCTTTGATCATGAATTAAAGTTAAATCCAAAGTTTATCTAGCTCTTGGCCTTTAGCCTTTCAAACAAACACAGGGAGAAGTGACTGGATGATTGCAACATGAAAGCAAAGGTACTGGGCTGAAGGTCAGGCCCAGATTCAGCCCTCAACTGGAAAGCCTGAGGAGCTCCTCCTTCACCCCAGCTTCACCCAGCTTCACCCAGCAATCCCCTTCGCATGAAGCAGGATTAGGAACCCCTCTTAGCTTAGCTAATGTTTATGATCGGTTATCAGCTTTTTCCAGTCCCTCTAGCCTTGGTGGCCGAGTTTTACTTGGACCAGAGCTCAAGTTTTCTGTGTTGGAAGGTCAGCAGAGAGCTGCGCTCTCCATCAGGGTCAGAGGAGGCCTGGCACATGCTACTGTATGTTAACACTGGTAGCTGGTACCTGGGACACCACCTAGCAAATTGTTGCATCTGCTGTTAGCATGGTTGAAAAGGCAGAAAGTATTCTGCTTGACGTGCTCTTGCTACTCTTGATTTTTAAGGCCTATTAAATTACAAAAATAAGGTTCAGAGATTATTGAAGATCACAAAATCAAGCTCTTACAAATTGGGAAAAGCCAGAACTGAGGTGATATGTCACATCACATCTGAATTATGAAGGATGCTTTAGCTGTTGCATAGGTTGTAATGCATGTAGTGAGTAAGACCAGGTGGAGCACAGCTGTCTCTTACTTACAGCTGATACCCTGCAGAATTAGATGCTATTCCTGCCCTCATCACCAGATTCCTGTGGTACCAGAGGCAAGACACTCAGGTGTCTCAGAGCAGGCTGCTGGATGTTCCTCCTGAGCCCCAGTGCAGGCACAGAGCTATGGCTGCCGTCAGTGGGATCTGCACATATGGTGTGCTCTGAAGACTCAGACTATCAAGATGGATCCCGAAAATTAATAACTACTTTTTGACTTAACCTTCTCACCTGGCTTCTGCAGCTGTGAAAAGGGGAAAGTTGTGCCCAGGGAAAGAATGTTTGCAAAGCACTGGGGTAGCTGAGTGATGAGCACCATAGGAAAATCCTTGAAGCTTTAAACAATCTGCAGAGCATCATCATACAATGAAAAGAGTGTACAGCTCTGGGCAACTGCTTGCCTGCAGAGCACCATCCATGCTCAATGTTAGGAGGAAGGCGTTCGGTGGAAGAAACATCACACGTGATCCTGTGGTAAAGCAGGGTCCAGGAGTGTACACACAGGGAGAGCACATGAAGGGTGTACCTGCAATTCTTGTGTTCCTGAGCATGGAGGTCCTAAGGTTCTGATCTTTGAGCAGAGTTTTGTATTTATTGTGGAGGCTAAATTAGAGCTTGTTGGTTTGCGTGGGAGACTCTCCATGGACCCCAGTATATTTTGGATGAAGCCCATTTTACTCTGTTCTGTAAAATAATTAATCCTAATCCTGCAAGACTTCCTCTCGTTGTGGTCTTTCCTTTCTTTAAGCATTTTATTGTCCTCTGAGATTTTTATAATTCTTCACAGAACTGCTGCAACACAGTGAACAAAACCATGTAGGACTTGGAGTGGGGAAGCATCACCAGTCTTATCCCTGCTGAAGTTAGCACCTGAGCATTTTGGTGTTTAAGTATATTTACTATCTGCTTTGAGTTCAGGAGCTGCCTTATGGACATTTATCAACCAAACACACAGCCATGGCTGGCTGATCTTCAAGCTGAGCAAAGGTCATACATGGTCTGTTTGGACATTTGCTGCTGAAGTTAGTTGGGCTGTCTTGTTGCTGAAATCTGAAGAGGTTTGTTGCATCATAGTATTACTGGCACTGCATGGATTCAACAGAAGACTTTACAATATTGTTGCAGGGAATTGAAATAAACAAAACATCTTGTTTCAGAATGTGCACAGATACGATAAGATTAAACCTTAAATATAATAGAAACCCTTTGTCATGCAAAACCAGATCCTGGTGGTGTGTTAATCAATGTAGCACCATCTTATTGAGCTCTTCTGCTACCTGAGGATATGACTCGCTATTAGTGATATTGGTATAAGTTAAGTTAGGTTTAAGAGGGTTTTCATGGATAAGAGAAGCATGAAATGCAAGGCCAGAAATGAGAGGAAACAAAGGGTCCAGTTCAACTACAGTGAACTTTACGTGGAGAGGGTTCAAGCTTCCTGAAGGCAGAAAACAAGAGGAAAAGCAGAGGAAAGGAGGATAGGGCAAAACCTGAGAGGCTGCTGGAATGTATCCGAAGCTAAAATCAGCTATTTTGAATTAAATATGTTGTAAAATGCCAAAGTCAAGCTTAAACATGTCCCTCTAAAGCAGAATATGATAAGATGTGGCAACCTGTAGATAATGGAGGGTTTTGCATGCGGTTTTGAAAAGCCAAGAGAGAATTTTGTTCTTTCAACTGTTTAGGCCCACATTTGCTCAAGCAAGGGTTTTCTTGCATTCCTGCTCACTGTAGTGGCAACTTTTGAGATGGGGATCATCTCTCAAGTGTCTGACAGCCATGAACAGCACTCCCCAGTAACAGTAAGGCTTGTTATAGAGCTCACAGCAGCAGCACATTATCATCAATTGCCACACACAAACTATACCCATTATACAAACATTTAAGGAGACATGACTCCTTAGGAAGATTTAATTATGCTTAACATCTGTTCTGGGACATTTTCAAGTACCACTCTACTGTGCTTTTCATAAATATATTTTTTGCAGATGACACCAAGCTGAGTGGTGCGTTCGACACACCAGAGGGACCGGATGCCACCCAGACGGACCCGGACAAGC